GGCTACCAGTCTTAATTGGTCCTAACGGAAATCTGTATTTCATTGGCTGAATTTTAGGATTTTAGGGTTAAGACCGAAGCATAAACCAGGCATTCTATTGTAGACCCCGCGTTAAGCTGGTTCTACATTAGTCACATCGCAATGTCGCAAGCGTGTCGCAAGCGTTATGATCAAATCAGAGTTGAGCTAGCTTGATGTTGATTGGACCGCAACGCTGCGATGCGACTAATGTAGAACCAGTTTTACAGCTCCTAATGCGGGGTCTACAATAGAAGTCGTAGCAATCGTAGGGTCTTAAGTCGTAGAAAATTGACCAATCACAGTCGAATATGAGAAGAATAATCAACTGTGATTGGTCAATTTTCTACGATTTAAGATCCTACGACCGCTACGACTTCTATTGTAGACCCCGCATAACATGTTCATTGGTTATCGCGTCGCATTTTGCTGCGCGGCAAGCGTTTCCGCGTCCAGTATGCAGGAGTTATAAGTTCAATGGATAATAAAATCCCGTAACAAGGAAAGGATCACTTATCAAAGGTTGTTTTCTTTTTGTAAAGCACAAAACGCAATCGACAGCTCTGGGGACTTAACATGAAAATTCTGGCTATGTTCCAAATTTCACTGCCAGCACTGACAATCTACAATTTACGTTACGTATACTATACATTTTCAGCACTGGCAGTGAATTTTGGAACACAGCCTCTGACTATGCATTTCATATGCGATAGGCTTAAAGTCGGAGCTTATCAACATAAGCAGTAGCGAATCCAACATGTTGATTTCCTTATGGCCTTTATGCTTAGTTTATGCTTCGGTCTTAACTCTAAAATCCTAAAATTCAACCAATGGTTGAATTTTAAAATTGACTGCCAGTACTGAAAATCTATAGTGCACATAACATAAATTATAGCATTTTCTGTGCTGGCAGTAAATTTGGAACACAGCCAAGGTATCAATCATGAAACTTTATTCCTAGGATGGAAAGTGAAAAGTGAAAATTTTTACCATTGAAGTTAATGGAGAAATTTTTTATTTTTTACTTTTCACCCTAGGTGAAAAAAAATTTCATGATTGATACCCAGAAGCACGCCAAAAATCGCTTAAAGCTGATTCTATATTATATCGTTTTCGATTGGGGTGCACTAGCTGCACTCAGTGTCAAGAGCGTGTTCGATTAGCAATGCCAATGCGCACTTAGGCCGGAATCAGATTACGCGTTGAAGATTGAAAAATTCAGATTTGACCAATCGAAACGAAAGGAGCTAAAATTTCTTTGTCCTTATTGGTCAAATTTCAATCTTCAATCTTCAACCTCAATCTTCAATGCGTAGTCTGATTCCGGCCTTAGCTAGTGTCACATGTTCATTTGACCGCACGACACTCGCGTAGTGCGCACTAAGTGGCACGAGATATTTTGACGGTGCCAGTCCAGTGCACTGGATACATATATAGGATATCAGTGCATCGTTTTGTCACATGAAAGGATATACAGTAGGGACAAGCAAATCTATAATTTATAGCATGCAAATGTGTACAATTATTGATAAGTATGTACATATATGATATTCTTGATATTTTATATATTATTTAATTACATATAGTAAAAAATCATTACTTAAAGTTATGAACATGAGATGTCGAGGTTATTTTTCTGCGTTTTTCCTGCAGTCTAGTCAAGTCCTTACAATCTTATAATAACTCCCTACAATAACTCGAAATGGCACTTCAGCTTTAGCACTGAAAATCTTGGCGTGTTCTTTTGAATTTGCACTATTCAATGCAACCCATGGAACTCGTCCAGTGTTA